ATGGAAAGAGCCTAAGTGTCCATCAACGGACGAATGGATCAAGAAGATGTGGTTTATCTATACGATGGAATACTACATGGCAATGAGAAAGAATGAAATCTGGCCATGTGTAGCAACATGGATGGACCTTGAGGGTGTTATGCTGAGTGAAATAAGTCAGGCAGAGAAGGACAAATACCATATGTTTGCACGTATAGGAGGATTAGGAAGAACTTAATGGAGGACCACGGGGGAGAAGAAGGGGGGAAATAGTAGGGGAGGGGGAGAGAGGCAAACCATGAGAGACTCTTGAATGCTGAGAACAAACTGAGGACTGATGGATGTGGGGGGGGGGGAGATGGGCATGGAGGAGGGCACTTGTGGGGATGAGCACTGGGTGTTATATGGAAACCAACTTAACAATAAACTATTTGTAAAAAAAAAAAGATATTAAAAAAAAACATACGTTTTACTCTTGTGCTTGTAACTTCACCTATTACTATGGAAGCATCTGAGGCATTACTTCCTTCATTTGCTTTTATTTCCCTGCTCATCTTTTAAGGGTAGATAATTTGGAATTCAAAAGTGAATTTCACTTTAGAATTCATTAGCTAGGAAAGCCTGTGAATTTTGCTATTTGTAACAAATTTGCAATTCATTAGCTAGGAAAGTCTGACTAATCAAGATTTTTGATTAAGAAGTCAAATTGGAGGAATAAAGGAAAAATTATTAAGCATATATTCAAGGAAGAGATTAATTTGAATTTTTAAAAATTCTTTAAAAAGAGCTATATAAGAGACAGAAGGAAATAGTGATCATGGAATATCATTTGGAGAAGATGGGAGGCATATTGCTTGGTTCCAAACAAGAAGTGATCTCAGTGAAAAATACTCAAAGTTATTATCTGACAATATCAATGGCAAAGTAAACAACCATTTGATTATATATTTAGACACTGAGCTAGTTGTCTTATTATTATGTAAAATTTTTTACTTTCAGAAACAATAAACATATTTGTCATGAGAAATTTGAAGAAAAGACGCAAAAAAATACTGCCAGGCTAAACCAGCACAATGTGAAAATAATCACCAAACCAATGTTGTCCAACACAATTAATGAAGAATGGCAAAACTATAACATCATAAACACAACTAAGATAACTTCATAAAGGGTAAAAGTATATTTCTTTATCGCATCTATTCCCTTCTGAGAAATCTAAATGAAAGGAGATGTTGCAACTTTGAGAGCTATTCTAGATGATGACTGATCATCCTCTTGGTCAAATTTTTGTTCTTAGTTTGATTACCTCCTACCTCCATGGAATTTCATGTTCTCATGTTTGGTAGGAGAGGAAAGCCATGATAAACTGTATGACATTTTGAGCTGCTATACTCTGAATGAACTCACTGGCATGCTAAGTTATGTGAAGTTACATAGCTAGACAATGATTACCTAGAGTTAGAGGAGCTAATGATGTAGGCCAACTGAAGTTGTCTACCTTGGCTATGGAACAATAAATTGATTTCACACTTATACCTGCTCATCACCTCCACTGTCATAATTCGTGGGTCTTCAGTCAGTGCTTGAGCCAGTAGAAAAGAGGAAGACCATCAGTTTAATTGAAACTGATCAAGTGGACAAGGAAAGAACTGTTAACACCCAGAAAAACTTAGAGGGATCTAGAACATCTCTTTAAGTCCATGGATGCATAATCTACATGAGAAGATCAATAAGGACCACATAATAACGCCTTCATTAGTAAAATATTCTGGTAATGGTCTGTCCAAGGGTGAAAAGCTGATTGCATATATTATATAACTATAATAGCTTGTAGACATATTTCTTTTTTTTTTTCCTTCTGATGGGACATCTGGAGGCCAGGATTATGCTTTGACTTGGACTCCTTGAAGACAAGCACTATATCCTACTTACCACCTTTAATGACTAGCACAGTAACTGGAACTTAACAAATAATGACTACTGTCCAAACACTAGGTGCTAAACAACGCACCAAAACTTACCTTATACACATGACCCCCTTTAGTCCTTATAACATTATTGAGATGAATTATTATGAATTATTATTATCCAATTTTGCTAAGGAGGAAACTAAGGCTTAGAGAGGTTAAGTAGCTCTCCCAAGTAATTTGCACTACTGGTAAATTGACAGGGTCAGGATTTGAACCAAGGTTGTCTGACTATTAAAGATCATGCTCTTAAACACAAAATTATACTGCAATTCCCTTACCCCCAAATTGACTCACTCTGCCTAACAGTTGAACTGTGAATAGAAAAGGAACCATGAAAAGGAACAAAAGGATCAGATTATAGGATATATTAAATTTCTTTAGCAGCTTTTTAATTTGCCAAAGGACCATTCCTACTATTTGAATTAGGTCTTATCTATTTTAGATCCTATGGATGTGACTTAGATTATTATGGTTAAGCAAATAAGTATATTTAATAATCTTTCCACAGTTATGAAGTAATGAAATTCAAGTTCTCAGATGGTTTGTTAAAACGTCAAATGGGCATGAAAGGA